TTTTGATTAACTGATCTTTTGCGACGAAAACTATATCATTCCTTCAAAAATATTGTGTCCTTAATTAATTACTACCAATCAATGAATGGACAACTGCTGGTCTGGTTTATGACCCAATCCAAGGTAGTGCTAACCTGAACGAACCCAATCAACCTAATTGTATCCCCATAGGTCAACGCAATTAATTTATTTGAGCAAAATTATTAAACTTTTTAGTTTTTATTGGGATTTTACTGAGTTTGCTGAAATTTTATTGAGATTGTATTGACATGTTACATGTATAAGATTTTTCTCTCTTGTTTGAGCAGAACTAATGCTTTTTTATTTAAATATTCTTTATTTCATATTCAATATAAATATTTTTGTATATAAATTAAATTACCTTATTTTAAGTCAAATTGATCTAATTTTAAGTTGACCCTCGATTGAATTACTGATCCTTGATCTATTATCTTAACTGATTCAATAACTGATCTAGTTTTTAGTGCCATACAACTAATAAAGCTCATATATTTCTCATGACATTGTTACTGGAAAAGGAAAAAAAATGAAAGGAAAATATAGATAGTCGATAAACATGGAAACATCACTAGCTAGCTGATAGTGTGAATCGAGTCAAGCTTTTTGTTCCCCTGCTTTTGCAATTTGTACCTTCTATCTGGTATCCCACTGATATATGTTCTTAACTTTATGAACAAAAATCAATCTCTAGTACTTACTGAACATAATTTATGAATAAATATGGCAATTATGGCATGACAATTCAATCGTACATAGTTCTAACAGTAGACTGCACACGAACAGGAAACGACAACCTAGCTTTTCCTCACTTCGTTGCCTGCCACATCGATTCAAACCTTCAGCAATCCGTCAACCCCCATTTTTAATCATGCCTCCACTTGCTATTATCTTTTGTTCCTTCATTATATATAATTTTCAATCATAGTTCGAATCCCAAAAGATATAACGTAGTTTTTCATTTTTGTAAACCCTAGTTTGTCATTTAATCAGCTGCATTTAACATGCTTTATTAGATCTTTTTGTAAATTTTGCTTTGTCTATTCATGATATTTAATATCCAGGAATTCCTTAATTGTTAATATTTATCCCAGGAAAATAAAAAAAGAATGATTCAACATATTCAGAACAAGCTAATTAAGTGCATTATTTTTTTTGGCAATAAAACCCGTCATATTCATATATTCATCATGATTCATTTGATGAACTGATAAATCGTTTGAAAAATAGAATCTTTTTTGAAAATCTTTACTGCCTCCGTTTTAAAATATAAAGCATTTTTTAAAGATTGGATGTTAAATAAGGCATTTTTAGTCGTTGGAGGTGTAATTATTGCTTTTTTTAAAAAATACTCCTATTGATAATAATTTTATATTTATTGTGGGGTGTTTAATACAAATAGATATGAAAAAATAAGGTTAATTTGAAAGTAGGTAACTACTTCATTGGAGGTGAATTTTATTAAAATGCCTTATATTTTTAAATAGAGAAAGTATATGTTTAATCAATGTCGATCAGAAACCAACAGTCCAAGAGTCATCTGGTGATGCAGCTGCAAAGTTTTCAATTTAAATAATTTCTGAAATATATAATATTATTAATCAGGTTCTCATACACTGTCCATCTTTCAACCAATAACTATGGGATTTTTCATGTGGAGCAACATAAATCATATTGTATTTATTTAAAACCGAAATTTAGTTATGGTTGATTGTAAATTTATTTAAATCCCAGACTCAATGTGACTCCCACCAATCGATAAGGTCGGGCATAACGGACTATGGCACATGTAATAGATGTCAGGGTACGTAGTTTCATTTCATGCCTCCTGACTCATATATCTATGGAGTTTGTAAGCAATGACTAGGTAAATTGCATTCTATATCCCCCATTATTTATGTGTTATAGATCGAAAATTAACGGTGAGATCCATTTATGTTTGAAGTCCTTCAACTCTCATCTCTCTGTCCCCTGGAATTCTGAAACTAGCTTTCCCTAACTTTTCTTTCCCCAGGAAAAATTCCCCTGATTGAAGTGTCAGAGAATATCACGTTATTGCTCACACTATAGCACAAACAATATAAGGCATAGAGAAGAGGAATAGAGGATATATATACATATATAGATATCGATGTAGATATAGAGAGAGAGACAGAGAGAGGGAAACATGTCGAAGTCCACTAACATCATATCATGGTGTGTAGTTGTCACAGTGTCATGCAAAGACCTGGTAGGGCTAGGGAGCAATAATAATTATCTGCAAAGAAAATGCCGTGAAACAGAAAATCCTGACAAGATGTTGAAACTTATTGATTGGCATCAGTAGCTTTATTAGTTCCTCTCATCATACGTCCATGGACCACTACTGTATATGAGTTTACTAATTTGGATTCTTGCATTACTTTTGTTTGTGCCATTCTGTTGCTGGTGGACACTTTGCTATCAGAAATTATTATTGGGAGGCAAACCAAATATATCCCAATTCGATTTTTGTTTTCAAGATTTTGACGAAGGAGTTTATAATCCAACTGATGGTGAAGATACCCCAAGTGTTTTGTTAAAACGTAACCTAGCTATATACCTAGCAATGTGTTGTGTCCAAAATCATAGCTATAGTGCTGTTTGTCGCGTGGAAGTAAACTAAGTAACGTTGTTGAATCAAGATGGATATGTGGATATGTAAAGTGCAATTTAATTAATAGAACTTTGGGAAAGAAGTTAATCTAATTCACTTGATCTTTTCAAAAAGGGAAAAACGGAAAATCTTTCCTTTTCTGTTAACCCCAGAAATGTTGACTTCCTATATATTTCCCATCTGAAGATAATAATTAGCTAGGTCTAATAATATGTGCTTTTAATTAATATGAAAAATGAAGAATATGCTGTATATTTTCAATTAAATCATAGATATAGAGACAATATATGCTCATTATCAGTTACAAGGTACGTAAAAATGAAAATAAAATCTAACAATTCTGAAAGATTTACAGATCAGTTCTCTTGATTCACTAATTTAGCATTTGAAGGCAAATTCAAAGAACTTGTGTGTGTGTGTGTGTGTGTGTGAGAGAGAGAGAGAGAGAGAGAGAGAGAGAGAGAGAGAGGAATAAACGAAATAGGGGATCGTTAGCCTCCAAGACAAATTCAAAGTGGCTTCACTTTCCACATTCAAAGCTAGTATATATCCTATCTGTCATAATCGAGTACTGTATAGAATATTGCGAAATCCATCTCTGTCTCTTCTTTAATTTCTGGAAGAGGAATTGATAGTTAATTTCTGGAAGAGTAATCGATAGAACAACATGCTGGCTGATATAATTCAATTTAAAAATTAAAAAAAAACATATATAAGTTTACATTAATAATCGTCTTTAAATTTCCCACGAATTTTGGCTCATACAAACTTTTGCCCACTTCTTGTTTAGACACATTGCTCAAGAATTTTCAAGCTCTCCTTTTTTTCATCCAGAGTTCTTTCTATTTTAAATTATTTCCGCTATTCTTCTTGTTTAGACACATTGCTGGAGAATTTTCAAGCCCTTCTTTTTTTCATCCTGAGTTCTTTCTATTCTAAATTATTTCTGCTATTCCGTCACTTATTTATTTTATAGGAGGGTTTCTCTTAATCCTAAAGAGCCCTGGCAGCTGTGCTAAAATTGGACTATATTCTTGGACACAACCTGGATTAATATATACTTATATGTATATATATTGACACATATGTTTAGCGATCGTTCCCACTAAGCTGGTCGGAGAGCTGTCTCTTTATGGAATTCTGACCAGATCATCAGATCGATACCATCACCAACCACCTTGCTTCCTTCGTATTTGTGATCTGTGACTATGATGTACTTCCCTCTCTTTTTGCTTCTTCATCGCACCCATCAATTTATGTCTATCAAAAAGATAAATCAAATCAGTTTTCCCTCTGTAAATTCAGGTGCCAATGCTATAATTTTTGTTTAAAAAACTTTATAACTTGGATTTACAAGTCTTTAATTATCATCAAAATTAAAGTCCCCAATATTAATTAGCTAGAACCTATAAGAAGTTCAACTTTTAAACTATTGTTTCGTTATTTAAAACTTCAACTTCAGCATGTTGGTTCATTTTAATTAGTGTAATTTCGAATATTAGTTGTAGAAAATAGCATTGGGAAAACTCAGTTTCGAAAATTTAGTTTTAAGAAAATGAATTAAACAAAAATAGCCAATCAAGCATTCATTGGAAACTAGCCTTGCAAAACTAGCTCAATAGTTTAACCATAATTAAGAATTAAATTAATTTAGTCTAAAATTTAAGCTCAAAAGAGGTGCCACTACATGATGAAAAAAATCTTGAGGAGATCAATTTAATGAGCTGTGCAACTTGCAGCATCTTAGTCTCATATAGAGCTATAGATAGCCATTTGATATTTAGAAGGGAGGAATTTGAACATTAATAATGTGACATTGAACTTGAAGGAATTGATAAAAACATGACTTCCTAACAAGCTTGTTTCAAGAACTGTTTGATTGTTCTGTGATATCCAATAGATTCAAATTATCTTTGAGAATAGGAATCTAGGCAACATTCGCTACGCTAAGACAATTAATATTTGCAAATGGTGCCACTTGCTCTTGTGGCCTTGTTTCCAAGTCGCCTGAACTGCCAATCATTTCATCGAAATTTTTAGAGATCCAAACTTACCTTAAAGGGTTTCATACCCAAAAAAATTACTTTAAAGAGATAAAGTGACGTAACGAATTGACTTTGAAGGTGATATACTTCTTCTCTTTATATTTATTTTCTGTTTCATTTTTTCAATAAATTGTATGCAGTCAGTTTGTGAATTTTTTTATAGCAGAAGGTGTGCTTTTTGATGTTGACATTGACAGCTTCAATAAATAGAGGTGACTAAGCGCTGATGAGGGACTTTGATTTTTTTTTTTTGCCCCCGTCCAGTCAAATTCAAATATCACACAAAATAGGCCCAATGTACAATGGGGCTTTTGCAGTTGCCCGTACTTTACTTTTTGGGCCAAAGCCCATACTATTCTGAAAGGTTATAAATTTGTAAAGTTGCTTGAGGTCGGCCCAACTGCACAAGCAGGATGAGGAGCCAAATTTGGCACTCGATGAATAGCACTGTAGCATGAATTATTTTTTCATAAATAATCAATCAATCAAATAAATAAATAATAACTTGCCTCGTCTTATAATAAAACATGGGAACTCAAGAATGGTGGTGCAGCTTTGAATCTCCATCAGAAAAAGTTCCAACAGTCCTTCACTTCAACCTGAGATCGGACCTGATGGTCACCCTAGAGAAGCTCCCGTCATTAGCTACACCGAGAAGGTTCTTTTCCTTTCCTCTACCTTCATTCTATACCTTCATTGATCTGCTGCCTTGATCGTCTCTTTTTATCGGATTTCATTGCAGCTCATAGAGGCCGAGCAACTTCAATTGAAGAAGTAAATTGTTCTCTTTTTACTTTTCCCTTCCTCTCAATATATTATTGCTCTCTTTTTTTAATTCGCATATTTGAAGAATTGATGCAGGGATTTGAAAGAATACAGCGCTATATTTAGTGTTGAAAGTCAATTAGTTTGCTCACATTGAGGCAAGGGAATAGTTATGAGTCTCTGTTTTCTGAACAAAGTCCAAAATCTGTTCTACAAGATCTTTCAGATTTATGCAATTAAATCACTTCAACAATCGAAACCATTAAATTTATAATCTTGTCAAAGCAAGGCCCGGATAGTTTTAATGTGAACTTCCCCTCTTGCACTAATGCAACTTAGACTATGCTGCTTGCAAAATGCAGAGCCCCCTAAATGAAATTCTTCATGTTTCTTGTGAGTAATGAAGTAATCTAGTAGTATGATTGTTTTCAATCATATTTTCAGGTACATTGAAGAGAACTATTCTAAAAGTCGTGATGTGGAGCGTGAGCTTGCAAATCTTACATTGCAGGTGAAGCTTACTGCTGGGTCAAAGAAAGCAGGTTTCCATGTTATCATTGTTTCCTGCTCTTTTAGGCACCAATAAAAAAGAAAAAGTAATGATAAAATAAAATCTTTTATGGCATAGTTATTTGACTTTGCTTTTCATTGTATCTGCCGCATACTTAAAGCATTTGAACTTTTGAGAAAGAAAATAGAGGCATCAACAGAGAGAATTCGTGTGGCCAAGATAAAGGAAGAACAGGCACGGATGGCAGGTCACTTCTACTATTTGCTTAACTCATGTACTGCAATTTTCAGATAACAATATCCGGGTGGATGCAGGTACTGATTATTAGCATTTCATTGTACAATTATCTACGTACTGTACAATTTAAGATCTTCTGATCACAACAAGTTCAAAAATGGTGATAAAGTATATAATGAAGGGAAAATATATTAATAGCAAACTTGCAAGTTAGATGTAAACTGCTTGATAGATATGCATAAAATGAGTTCATGTTATATTTGATATGACGGATGTATCCTGTTGTGCACTTTCACCAATAAGCAGAGTGTTAAAGTGATCTATTGGGATATGTTATTGCTCAATAACATGGTTGGTCTCATAAATTGAGAGAACCTCTTTTTCACTTTCACTAAAATTTGTAGATTCATAGTGAAAACTCACTTAATCATGGTAATGAATAGAAACTTTTATATGTTTCATTTGTATGTTATTCTTTTTTCTCCATGCTTGCGCAATGATGTTGCTCGCCTGTATTGTTCAAGAAATTTTATTATTGAACCATGATTTTCTCTAGAAAATAAGCTTAGCACCACATTTATTTTCATAGATTGGTTCATCATTACCTTTAACTTGGCTCTTCATGTAAAGAATTGCTTCTCTTATATTTGGATGATAAAATCGAACACATAATTCCACTGTAATGTTCTTTCAGCATAGATATATATATATATATAGATCTCAAATTTGGGGATTGAATGTGGGAGCTTTTATCTCCCAAAATTTCAATGAGCATCATCAATTCGTTGCCAAATATAGTGCATGCCTTGATTGCTTGTGCCGCGGGTTGGGGAATCAGCATCAAAAGTTGTGGGGGATGAAGAGCAAACAAAAGAAAAGTTATGTGAAGACTTGAGCAATCTGGTAAGTTGATCGTCAACGATGGGATAATGTGCTACTTTTGACAGGCCATTTGGTACTAAATGTCGTTTGTTGGTCCAAGAGAGTGGTAATTCTCAGCTTTCTAGGCTGGAGGAATTAAAAAGACGACTGGAAGCTATGAATTCAAGCCAAGCATAAACAACTGTTCATCATGTAAGTTTTCTATGCTTTTTGTTCATCATTTAAAAATTGGTGGCTTGGTGGACTTTATTCAATGGTGGATGTCCTAGATCAGGGACCTTGTTTTCATGATCTCTGGCGTTATTATGTAATATGAACTTATCTTTTTGGGGCCAGATATGCCTCCTAAATGAATGCCTCATGCTAAAAAGAAAACTAAATGATCTTTTGAACTCAATTGTTTTCATGTCCCACTCATAGCTGAACCAATTCAGGCCATGCATCAACACCTTCAAAAGATCAACATGATTGATCTACATATTATTTTGGCACGAACATTCATCTTGACAGTGTTGGGAGGACATCGAGCTCATAAGTTCTTTGAATTAAAACCAGAAATTAGTTTTACACTCCATGAAATAGGTCCTTTTGTTGTTCTTTTTTTTCTCTTCGCATTCCTTAGCTGCCGTTCAATTGTGCTTTTTGCATTTTTTGACTTATTAGGATGAGGGTAAGGGGTTGATGGGGAGATTAGCTCTCTCAGGCTTTTAAGTTCTCCACCTGAGTTGTTATTTTCGTTTATTGTTGGTTATATTTTCTGTATAGACAATTGTACATCATCTGTGTTCCATTCCATTTATGCTGCCCCTTCCCCTATTTCATGCCTTTGTATATGCATACGCATATATGTCATGCTAGTAAATGTTTAAAATATTGCACTAGGATGGGAGATCAGCAAGTTCTTCTCAGGATAGTACAACACAATGTGCTTCCTCTGTTCCCAACACAAGGGATCCAAGCGGGGAATTTGCTGAGAATGCTTCCAACCAAAGAAACGATGATAAAGTTTTGGTGACAAATGGACATAATCCATAGCCTCCTAACAAGGGAGAAGGAACAAATAAAAAGAGGGTCAACGTCCAATTACAAGGAAAAGGAATTGGTGCAATCCCTAAGGGTAGATCTTCGGGTCCTGGTTGGACTGGTGCTGGCTTTGATGTGGATGGCAGAAATTGAGAATACTAGTATACTAGTATTACTTTATGTCACTGCAATAACAATTTAAGATGAGAAGTTATGACTTTCCTGTACAGGGGGCATTCCTCACTCTCTCTTTTCCTAGTATTTATCCGTTAACCAGGAGATCTTTTCTATCCCCACTTGTACTCTTTCCTGGACAGCCTGTTGATAGAGAAGTTTGTGAGTACTGACCTTCCGGACCGCTGTTTGCTAGCACAAAGTTTTGCAGCACCTCTAGACTTACTTTCAAGTAGAATTAATGTACATTGGGCCCGTATCAGAATGTTATGACTTATAATTTTATTTTATTTATAGTTGAAAAAGAACACAACTTCTGTGTGATGAAACTTATTTCTAAAGGTGCTTCTTTTTGTATTCATTTTATGGTTTAGGCGAGAATCAACCTCTGTTCATGTGACTAGGTCATATAAAATTGATTTTAAGGAGCCCTTCCAATATTTGAATCCACAACATCAGGTGAAAATAGAAAAATGACAGAATAATGATTAACAGATATTACTACTTGCTAGCCTGTCTTGTAATTTTCTGTGCTAATGTGGAGAAATCAGAAAACGTCACTATGGATCCATAGGTGAAAATAGAAAGGTTGCTGCTGGCAAGTAAATATGGCATTCAAATGCCTAAAGGGAAAAAAAGAAATGGTAGGGACGTAGGGTCGTCGTGATTGATTTGAAGTAACTTTTTCACGGGTAACGTGAGAGGATGATTGAAATTCTTGAGAAATTTCCAAAGACGACGACATTGTCAGAATGGCAGCAATTCTGCAAACAAAGTGGTGGGACAAGGCGTTGGATAGATCATCAAGTTTTGCATTAGTGTTTGGTAGCTCATAAATATTAACTCCCTCTTACTCTGTAGCCTACAAGTAAAATTTGGACCTTAACCTGCGTCTTCAACCGTGGAATGCAACCTCCCAACTCTCAGTACAAGGCCTCGCTTGAATTTCTGTTTCCCTCCTTCCATGCTCTGTTCTCAGTTCTGACCTCAATCATGTCTTCACATTTAAAATCTGTTGCACTGTGCTTCGTTCATCCACGTTTTTCACCTACTCTTCCTAACTTTTATATTCTATTTCAAAATTGTTTTTCTCTTTTTATTAAAAAAATTTATCGTTTAACGAGAGGAAGAAAATATCCCTTTTATCGTTTTTATTGACCGGCATCAAACGTGATGTGATTAATTTTTCCGAGGGGGGTGCTTGCCCCCATATCCCTTATTTCCTTGCTTTTAGTCAATTTTTTTCCTTGTTAAAAAAAATGATAAAATTGATTCTAGGCCCTATATTTGATGTGATTTGAAATTTTGCCCCTCGTACACGTTGGATTTAATTTTTTTTTTAATTAGAAAGTTGAATAGCTATCGTATTTAAATTTGTGACTCATTTAGTTGGGGTATTTTAGGAAGATCTGCTCATGTTCTTTTTTTTTTTTGTAAATAACTAACTTACCTATTTTTTAAAATCTATATAAATTAAATTATTAGTAGCTGTTTAGATTTAGGATCGGAGGGGCATGTTGGATGGCTACATATATATATATATATATATGCCCTCTCCAGACATGGAAGCGGTGTCACAGTGGGTGCTTGGGGTGAAAAGTAACAATGATTCAATCATAATTTTCAAGTCTAAGAATGACTGAAAATACAGGACCCAAAAATAATGACGACTTGCTTCACAAACGCCCACGAGCAAGAAACTCACAGGCAGACAGATTTGCAATCACCATTTATGTTTCCCCAAAAGTGGTATTGAAGTAATAACAATTTGTAAAATTGGACGCTGTCTCTTGTCTGTGTCATGATTCATGGCTTCCGGCTTTCACCACTACGAGCAGCCAGATAGTTGATCCACACATGTCCCCTTTGAATCAGACATCTTGATAGCCTTTTGAATTTCCCGCCCTTTCTCATTTGGAGTATTGATGAGCCCAGTTCTGTTTTGTTTTGGTTTTTCCCATCAGAGTAATTTTTTAAAAAAATTGAGTGTTATTTAAGGATTGTTCACTCTTAAGAGATACTTTCCATATACATCTTCAAAAGTCAAACTTTAAAATGGTACCTAAAGGATTCAAATTGCCACTATCTGTGGCGTGGATTTATTATTGCATGCCACAAGCACGAAGCAGTTGTTTAACATTCATTCTCATTGTCATTCATCGCGAAGGCCAATCGATTTAACTGAGAAATTCAGTATGGAAAAAAGCAAAGAAACAGGAGTGGGATTGCGATTCACGCCACGTGTCCTGTATTCCAATCTCAAACTTCCATGGAGCCAGGTCACCAAAACAAATCACTTTCTGTGCATGCTCATTTCTCCTTGTCCCATTCAACAAGTGATGTAAGCATGCCTTCGTTGTGTAATCTACTGCCCCCTGCAATCTTTTTTACATGAAAACTTTTAGTAAAAACACTACTTTTGATATGTGCATGTTGTTTGAATTTTATTATAGGTCTTTACACTTTGTTTTTAATATTCTAAATCCTTACATTACCCTCCATTTGCAACATTAGTCTCTAAATTTTTAAAGAAATATTGACGTGACACAAATGATGTTAATAACACTAACAAGTCAATTAACATAATTAATTTTATGCTTGAGTGTTCAAATGATGCTAACATAAAATTTTTTAATAAGTAAAAATTAAAAAAAAGCCTATATCAAATGAGATAAAAAAGTTAATTTAGACTTTTTAAATGATAAGTAAAACACACAAATTTCATGTAGTTTTTTTTCAACTTTTTACTTATTAAATTTTTTTGCCAACATAAGTTTGACAGGTAAGCACAAAATTAATAGTATTAATTGATATTTTGGCATTATTAATACTGTTTATGTTATGTCAACATTCCTTTAAAAATGTAAGGACCAATATTTTAAATAGAGAAAAGTGTGGAGACTTAGAGTATAAAAAAATTACAAAAATCTATACTAAAACAAAAGCAAAGTGCAGAGATCAAAGGTAGTGTTTTTCCAAACTTTTAATTATCACACTTGGATTAAGGAAATTGTTAAAATTATTAAACTATAAATTAAAAATTTTTCCTATACCAAACCTTAAACTCAAAATCAAACATACTCCATCCTTTCATATACATGAATCACTTTTAATTAATTCAATAAAAATGGAATAAGTTAGTATCTTTGATTTGTTTCATAGGATAAAGGATAAAAATACCCCCAACTTTTTTTCTAAGGACACCTAATATCTTTGAATGAACAAGGGTATAAAAATATATATGAATTGGCTTTAACGAATGTAATTTTTCCCAAACCGTTAAAAAGGGCAAACACTTGTTAGTTTTGTAGCACAGGTCCCATAGTCATGCCAAGTGTCAAGTTTCTATGTGGTTGTCAAAATTATCATTTTTATATTTCTAATTTATAAAATCATGTTAATTCACTCATAAACTCGGTTAAATTCGCAAATTAACTCTCCAAGTTTACTCTTTTTATGTTTCTAATTTAAAACATTGTGTCAATTTACTCATAAACTTAAATTAGATACCATCGATTAAATTTGCTAAATTTGTTAATTTTTAATTGAGTTGAGCAAATCAGTATATACTGTATAAAATTTATTTCACAAAAGTGGTAGGACACACTTCAAAGAAAAAAAAATTAAAAAAGCAAAAATTAACATTAATAAAAAAGGAAATGAGAAAAATAAGTTATCCTATTTTAAAATTTTTATGTTGAGCATAGGTAGATTTAATTTTAATGATTTATATTTAAATTAAATTATGATCATATTTTATATTTTAATTATTTAATTATATACTTTTAATAATTATTTATTAATAAAAATAAATTCTTATAAATTTACAATTTAAATTTATGATTTTAAGTTTACATTTGTGTTACGAATTTATTTGTACTCACAAAATTGACAACCATGCCCATTGGCCTCTGTCCACTTCCTCTTCTTGTCTTGTCCTTTTCTTTTTTGAAATTAATGTCTCTTCCCTCTCAAAACCGTTCGATGTCTGGATCAGTACTCCTACCTCCTCAACTCCTCCATCAACCACCGCATGCTCCCTCTAATCATCATCTAGGATTGGTGAAAGGGGGTTCATAGTGTTTCTAAATGGACTGTGATTGAGCAGAGGGCCACAACCGCCAACATGCCCTCTGCTCCTCCCTCATCTCCACCTTTCTCTTCCTCTATATTCTCACCTCTCATTATCAGCCTATAGACTTTCACATGGAGCTTCCCAGGACCTTCTTGTTCCTCGCCGCAGTCGACAATTGACGAGCGCTACTTGCCGACGTTCGTGAGCATCAGGGTGGCCCTGTGCTCTGATTGTTAGAGGGAGCTCGGCCTAGCACAATGAGTTTGGCAGGCAACGGATTGTTGATCTGAGAAGCGAGAACATTGTGACGGACGACGAAAATGGACGGTTGTGGATGCTGAAGAATCGAGTTCTCCAAGAACGTCACCGCGATTTGATGAGGGAGACAGGGGCGAGGACTAAGGACTGGAGAAGGAGAAGCGACAACGTGAGTGAAGAGCGTGCATGGCTGAGCTATCTTCAGCTTCATCGTCCTTCTGCTCCCCTCCACAATCCTCATCTTCCTCCTGTTCGTGTGTGCACAGTGTGTGACCAAACTGGTCGTGACTGCGCGAGTGCAGAGTGCATGACTGAACTTGCAAGCGTCCGGTTACCCATTTTGACCGTCTAGATTAAAAATTTGTATGATTCAGATGTTTTATTTTTATATTTTATTTTATATTATTAAAATAAAATTATAAATAACAATAAATCTGCCCTAATATCAATCTAGACAATGTGGGTTTAATCTGAATAATCCAATTTATTATCAATTATTTTTTAAATTTTCATAAATTAATTATTTAGATATATTTTAGATAGTATAAATTTAAAAATTTTAAGTTACAACATTTTTAATTTTTTAAAAATTTCATTTTGAAGATTATCTTTATTTTTATTTTTTTAATATTATCTTTATTAAAATAAATATTCACAAAAATTTAAAAAAAATTAATATTATATTCAGACTATCCAGATCATGCAACTGAATATTCTATTTATAAAAATTATAAAAAAATTAATATTAAATTAAACTATTTAGATTAAATTTTTATTATTCATATTGATAATAAGATAGATTTATTAAAATTTTATAATAAATATAAAAAATATAAAAATAAAACTTTAAAAATAGACTTACGGCAGAATGTTTAGCACTAGAGAGAAAGAATAGGGATGGTCGAGGGAAGAGAGAGAGAAATGAGAGAAAAGAAGAGGAGAGGGAACACGGTGGAGCATGGGAAGCCGGTGGTTGAAACGCGCACGACGTCACATGTACTGATGTACGGTAGTGGTTTTTTGATCAGGACACGTCAGCACTCTCATCATTTAAAAATATAAAATATTATTTAAAAATTAAATATTTAAAAATATAAAATATTTTTAATTTTTTAAGGTGTTATTATTATATTTTTTAAATTATTTTTATTAATGAATGAGTTTATAATTATTATAAAGTATTTAATAAAAATAAATATAAAAAATATAATTAATTTAAAAATAAGTGTTTATTGTATTTTTTTTAATTGAAAAGTGTTTATTATATTAAAAGATAAAATTTAATTAAAATATTTTATACTTGTAACTGAAAGGAGAAGTAATTAGCGGGATTCAATATGGTGATGGAGATTGAAAAAGAAGACAATGAATAGGTTATGTAGGCGAGAAGAAGAAAAGAAGGAATAGTCGGATGAGGCCATTAGGAGAGAGAGACCGTAGAAAGAAACAGAAACGAAAAGGAGAGGAGAGAGAAACTGTCAAAGCATGACAGGTGGTGTAATTTTGAGATCCTCCTTACAAAACTAACCGACATTCACCTGAGTAATTTTTAAAAATACATTTAAATTATATTTAAAAAATCTTTTTAACCTTCATTTTTTTCCCGAACACTATCTTTAAGTATTTTCATATTAATCTCTTAGATCTTTAATAAGTTAGTTGAATGTTTTTGTGATTCTAAATATAAAACACTTGGCAAAATGTAAGTTATATTATAAATAAGTCTCTCTCTCTGTTTTTTTTCTGCAAAACATCCTTATAAATTGAGTTATAGAGAGAGATTATATAAAAAGTTAATGGTGATTAAGATAGATTGAATTGGAAGTTAACTTTAAAAATTGATTATATTTTTTTACATCTTGATTATATATAAGCCATTTTTAACTACATTTCTTAATTATTGTAAAGTAATTGAAAGTAGTTTATATTAAAGTTTGGGAGAGCACAATGTGGTAGGAGAAAATTTATGGAATAGCTTATTAAATGATACACAAAACAATCAAACGAAACTTATATACATATATATATATATAGTGAATATGATTGAAGGAGTACTTTTTCAAAGGAATAAAAGGATAATATTTTTTTCTAATCTTAGAAGTGGTGCTTCACATCAAAATTTTTAGATAAAAATCTTTAAATTAAGCAGTTCAAAGAAAAATTCATATACAACTATGCATTTTGAATCTTTAGAAGAGAGATAGTAATGCTGGGATTCATTTTTTAAAACCAGCATTGGAAGTTGAATATTGAACATTTTTTTATTGTTATGATTCCTGGAGGCACTAGACCTCATCATTGAAAAAAGAGTAGTGTTCTGGCGGTCAAAATCCACGTGGCAAACACTTTCCTTAGTGGACCCCACCATCTCTTCACGTGAATTGCCCATCCCTGCCTATCATCCCTCCACGTGACGCCCTATCCTCCTCCCACCAAAGCGACGCCGTACACTAGTTCCCGCTACACGCGACAACCGCCTCATGCACCAGCGTCTGTAGGATGCTCCATTCAATTTCTTCCACTAACCCTTCTTCCTCTGCTTCCTTACAATCTAATCCCTCTCTCATCATCTTCCCCAAATCCTCTCTCTCAATCAGCGCGTCGATGTCTTCCAGTACTTCACAATGTGCTTCCGGGAAGCTTCGTATCCTCTTACACACTGCTTCCGCCATCAATTGATGATGGGACGCTAATGCATGTGATCCACATAGGTAATTACTATCTTGTTTTACCCATGGCCTTACAATCTCCCCCAGTAATTCATCAACTAAATCAAACAGTAATTTCCGGTTACAACGGAGACCAAGTTGGTTGTTGCTTTCTGCGACAGTACTGACGGAGCATACAGTAGAAATGGAGGTGGGGTAATAGTACTGTTCGAGATGGTGAAAAATCGGAGGGTCCAAGGACGCTTGATTTCTGGCACCTTCCTTTCCCTCAGTGGTACGGCTCAATATGTTTGTGACGTACTCAAACTCTGGTGGTCCACGAGCTCCGGTGGTAGATGCACCGTTAGATTTGCCGTCGTCTTCGTCGTTGGCTTCTCGGGTGGCGAGTATCCGTTTCTCTTCTTGTTTGTACGTTTGGCGCGGACAACTAGATAACTGTGAGCTGCGTTTTGGTCGTTGAGCATCTGGCCCCTGTGGCTGTTTATTTTTATTTTTTGAAGGAAGTGAGAGAAACGCGAAATTTGAATGGTCAGAACGGAGCCGTAGTTTACTGTTTATTACCACATGGGGAGTAAAAACCATAATGCGAAATGCGAATGGCTAAATTTTACTGGAAGCAGCCAAAAAGTTAAAATTGAAATAGTATAGCTCCTATCCAATAGTCGGTACCTGTTTCTGAGGAATTTTGGTCTTTGGAGGAGAAGAATCTGTGTTGACAGGACGAAGATTTGGGATGCTGGTGAGGTTGAGAAGGTTGCTTGTTCTCTTGGTGTCATTGGCTCTGATGGGTGATGGACGTGGTGGTCGAACAAAAGACTCTTCTTTTTTGTTTCTGAATATATCTGATGTCTGACGGGGTTTTCTGAGCCTCGCACTGAACCGTTCATTGGCATCTTTCTTGCATTTCGGGACCGATTTCTGGTTTTGCAATTCTTGCCCTGCAAATGCTTGAGGCTTTGACTTGGTCAAAACTCTTGGAATCTGGGGTTCAACGTTGATTGGTGGAGGTGAAGACAGTTTCACTGGGAGTGAATTTTGATCTTTCGGGGTTAGTGGTAATGGGGGTCTGGTGGTTGTTTTTTGCTTGGCTTCCATAAATCTGAGCCTTGGGGAAGAACTAGGTGGATTCGGGTTCTTTCCGGGGCTGGATTCATCTATTACTTTCAATGATGCCTTTGGAGATTTCTTGACTCTGATTTGGCCAACAAGTTCTGCTCTTGATTGCTCTCTGTTTTTGACAGTGTTGGTGATGTCAAGCCCGACTTTCCGGCTCACACTTTCTCTGACTTGTTTAACAATATGCCTTGCATAATGGCTTGGACTTCTGCAATTTTGCTCTTCAAATTTCCTTTTCAAAAATGAAAGTCTAGGGAGCTCCAAGTCCTCACCAAGACCCAGGTTTTCTTTGTTGATTTGGAGAGAGAACCTATGATGATCAACATCAGATCTTCTTGCAGAGGATATTCTAGGAGTCTCAGGCAAGGAACGCGAAGCTGCAATATCACTGTCTGTACTATTTCTGTGTTTCGTTAGGATGTTTTGCCTTGGTTTAGAACGGTGAAGACGCGAATTCCCCTTGGGGTTTGGAGTGGAAATACATGATAAAGAAGGAGATTGAGCATCTGGAAGAAGATCCAGACCCATCAATCTGGCAACCAAAGTTGGTGTTTTTGTGCATGGAGAGTTGCTGATTTCTGATGAAAGATCGCTCCCATTTCCTCCCTTGGCTCTTCTGCTTGTTTTAATTTGCATTCTCTTCTGGAGTTCCGAAATCAACAAACTTATCAGTTAAGTGGCAAAATTTCTATCATCATCGTGGTTACTCTACAGCATAAACTAATCAAATGGGAAAAGGTTGGAATAGATTAACTTACTGGGATTTTCAAATATTCCTCTTTTGAGATGAAGGACATTTTACCATCCTCTGATTCCAAGCTATTCCTAGGTGCTTCAGCTCCTGAATAATATAGAAAAAACTATAAACCAAGACTCTAGAAACCAAAATGGAGTTGGGAGCTGAGACCAACTTCATTGAAGAGCATTTAGAATACCTTTAGGGATGCTCCGGTCTTCTGGTTTATCAGAGGGATGCTGCTGTTGAATGGGAAAGTGGAGAGGATGGAAATCAAAGAACTGAAAGAAAGCACACATGCAGCCTGAAGGGTTGTGTGCATCTGCACCAGCTCCTTCACCTCGTTTTGATGATCTTCCGGTCCAATACCACTCCTTCCCCATAATTGGTAAACTTGTTATGTCTGCCTTGATATGACGACGACGTCGAGGACCTCTACTTTAGAAACAAGAAAAAAGATATCGTCTGGAAAAATGAGAACGAAAATGACAGTACCAAAGGTCTCTCTTAGATCGTCTGAAGAGAAACAGGGAAGCAGGAGGCTTTGGCATGAAAAGCTATGCGAGCTTTGGGGCGTATATATTATTCAGAGACGAAGGAGCGAAAAAAGCGGATCCTTTGAAGCATGAAACGGTCACATTTGATGTAAGGAATTAAAGTACAATATCAGGAGTGGTGATGCAATCTGAGTGCTTTTCAAAAATTAAAAGAACCATGTCATCTCTCTCTCTCTCTCTATCTTTTTATCTTCATCGCACTCACTCCCAAGGTTTTACCAGACCAAAGCCCTGCCCTGTTATTGGGAAAGGAGACGGGTACAAGAATTAAGAATTGAGGAGGATGACGATATGCCAATCTCTTGCTGCGAGTCGCACAAAAAATGTTTGTAACTTTCAATATATTTATTAAAATTAAAAAATTTAAATTTTACTCTTTCTATCTTAAATTTTAATAAATTTTATTTTTCAATAAATATTAAAAATATTTTAATATTATTTTTTACATTTTTTAAAAGTATAAAAGTAAAAATGAGTATAAAATAATGAAATATAATATAAATAAGATCGAAATTAAACTTTTTTTTTTTATAAATAGGAATAGAGTGGCATGTATTCCCACCATTTTTGTTTGATAGAGAAATTATCATTTTTTACTTATGTTTTTTTAATGAACAAAATCATCTACTATTTCAATAAGCATTTATTAAACATTTTCTAAAACATTTCTCATAATTTACATTAATAAAAAATAATTAATGCATATTTATATTGATTAACACACAACATTTTAGTCTATTTTTTATTTTCAAAAATAATTATTATAATTAATTAATTTTTTAAACTATGAAATATACTCTCTCCGTTAAAAATATAAGACATTTTTTAAGAAATCAGATGTTAAAAAATATAAGACATTTTAATTTTTTAAGGTGTGTTTTGTCTTTTTTTTTAAGTGTCCTTATTGATATTGATTTTATATTTATTATAGAGTATTTTATAAGGATAAATATAAAAAATAAAATTAATTTAAAAGTAAGTAAATACTTTATTAAAAGGATTATTATATAATATTTTTAATAATGTAATATTTTTAACATTAATAAGATATTGTA